GAAGGTACATTTTTAACAAGCAGGATGTCACATCCCAGCAAGTTTACAGCAAACTGCACATCAAAATCTCCACCTAATGCTTCCTCAAATGTAAGAACTTTCGGCACTCTGGGTTATGTGCTTTGGCCATAACAAATAAAGTAATTAACATGTATTGTATTTGTATACAATGCGCGATCATCCATGGGAAGTGGCATATTGTTTAACAGTTCTGTAAATTGAACAATGTCTTTTGTAAACATCAATTTTGGTATGTACTACACCTTGCGTGAATACTAACAGCGGAACCTAGTGTATAGGAAATGTAGAAAGGCATTAGTGCTGTTTCACCGACCATAGGGGCTGCGTGTGTAGGTCACAGGGTATGTGAGAAGCTGGTGGCATATGTATCACAGAAGTAATACGAGATGTGAGATCACGAACATGTGTCACTTTTTTCGTCAGTGCATACGTGCATCTGCTTGGAAGCGTGAATATTTAATGAAGATTCACTCATTTCATTTAGAGACTGACTTTGATGTGCATAAGTACCTTTTTCTATCACAGTAATATTCAGTGCGTTCCTATCATAACGCTCGCGGCTGTGTGCGTGTGCGCACGCTCGCAAGTGTGTCTGTGTGTGTATGCATGCGTGGAGAAAGAGAGAAACATACACACATTATGACTGAAATGCAAGAAACGCCCTTGTTTTCGAGAGCACCGGCTCACACACCCACGCTGCCCCTGCGGTTTTGCCAGCTGTAACGTCCGGTGCCGCTTGCCCTACGGCCGAGGGGCACTTCCGGCTCAACAGGACCGCGTTAGCAGGCGAGGGGGGGGGGGAGGCCAAGAGCCAGGAGCCAGGGCCATTTTGTGGGAACAGGCTGATGTTTCTCTCTCCTTCACCGAATCTACTCCCGTATTTGTTTACGTGTCGGAAATCTCGGTCGAGTGTTTACAGCTGGCGTTTGTTTATGTATGTGGATCGAAGAATCGTATTTGAGCGTGAGAAGTTACTGGTAAGGAATGCCAATGACGTGTAACACTTCTTTGTCGAAATGTCTTTGGAAGTGTTTTGTTTATGTACTTCAAAGGTGTCCACATACTTATTTTACTTATATGAAGACGCCAAAGGCCTTGACGCCTTGGTACACTTCTACTTAACGCGAAAACAAACGTTTAGAGTGGTTTCCTCACCTGCGGGCACTCTTTGATGTGATGGCCCTTCTTGAAGCACAAATGGCACAGGTAGTTGGGCGGCAGTTTCCTTCCCTTCACCTTCTTGTCGAGGCCCAGTGTCAGCTCATTCAGTTGGTCCGCCAGCTCTCCTGGGGGAAACGAGAGGAAATATGTCCAAGTAATTCACAATCATTCACATAACAGCAGTTGTGTTTACAATGATGTTCAGAACTCCTGTCTTATCATGTGTAATAAC